GTATGACGACAAAGCTGTAATAGTGACTGGTGTTGCAGCAAGGACGTCGGGAGGTCTTTCATCATGAGGTCATGATTGCTAGTGCTGGCTCGGAACATTCTGAGTCTCCGTAGAGGAGGCATGTTAGCGTAGGGAAATTCTGTGTATGTCGCTCAGGGACCACAAATACGGATGGTGTAATATCATATAAAGATTAGCGCATTTGGTCGTAGAAGAAAATGGAATTGATGTACGGCATTAGTTGCGACCTGTAAGTAAACATTTAGGAAATCACTTTGATCATTGTCCCCGCCATATCCGCCTTCTACGTTACCTTGGCCTTCTCCTGCATCTTGTATTGTCTCCAGCGGAAGAGGTTGTAACAGGTTAGGAGGAGGAGGAGCGACTGAGCAGCCAGGGATCAAGTTGAACAATATCATAACAACGACGATGGCGAGAAATGGTTCGGTTTGGATATTAGCCTAGAACTGAGTATGTGTCCTTCGGTATGAGATGCACAAGGGGTGCCGCGGAAAGCTTAAACGTAGGTGATAGAAGTAGGATATGTCCCGGGAGGGACACATCCGTAGACCGGACTAGAAATGATCTGTTCAACGTCTTAGCGATGACGAGCGTCTCACCTAGCTGAGCCACAATAGCGTTGAACCCACCGAAAAAAGCCGTACTCTACGCGCGGGGTGATCATCTGTAATACTAGCTACACGGTGTGAGATGACAACATGGTACCACACTTGAAGGAGACTAACCTTAACGACCGTAGCGGCGACACCTGTTTGCTTTGTAATTGCATTGAGACGAATGGACCGACTGAGAGCCTCTGCTTTGGAAAACAATACCGAGAACGCCTTATCCTCGTCAGAGCAGATCGGGATATGTTCCGTGTCATCGCTTTCTCAGATAAGGGTCATAGTCAAGGTGCCTTTCTGTGAACACACGAGCTCCCTGACAGGCGTGCGGGTCAACTTGAATCTATCAGAGACCGGTAGCTTCAGCGATGGTCCGAACGACAGGTTCAATCCCTCCTGCAGCGCATTCGCCATAGAGGTTATTTTCATCCTGGAGTTCTGATAATCGCATATTGTCGAGACCGTCTAACATCGACTGACAAGATAAATCGCCCATACCAGATTCATTGACCCCTGGAAGTGAGATATTCGGCGAGTCTAGAGATGAGAGTGACATCTAGCCGATTGAGGAATGGTTTATTCGTGAGAGGAGTTAGATATATTTTGCACAACAGTCCGCCGTTATCGTCCCCGTTGACGGGCGAGAACCACGTTGAGGTGCGATAGGGAGAACAAGGACTCTCGAATGTTAGGGGTTAAAATAGCAGTCATGTTCGCAAGACCTATGTTGAGAATTCTAAAGTCAGGGGAGCATACATAGTGTCGGGAATGAGGTACAGGGAGGCTGGGCGTGGTGACCATTGTGGTCGGAAGTCAAGCGCAGGGGGATCTCAATATGGACATGAACGCCAAGACCATGGCAACAAACGGGCTAAGCCGGAGATTTCTTATCTGGGACAGACGCCAGCTATTTTCCTCTTTCTTTCATACTATCATGGCCAATTTTCCTCAGTACCCAGCGAGCGTAAAATCATCTTACCGACGATGAGATCACATCACAATGATTACGATCCCGACCGTAACCTCAAAAAAAAATCACCACGACCTCCAAAGCAATGGTTCAGGTGCTCAGACTGGCACTTGTCTTCGAATTGGAAGACTCTGAATCTGTACAGGCATCATGGTTTAGTGGGCGACTCACGATTCTGTTTGACATGTCTCGCTCTTCTACTGTCCGCCGCGATGTCGACGTCAGCTGAGGAAGAAATGCTGATGTCTCTTGTTACACAGGGGCGCAACGTTTTCGCGCACTATGTCTCTACTTTCATTCTACACACAACATCCTTGGCCTTGGCTGAGCTGAAATGTCTTTGCCTATGAGTACCGGCGTTTTCGCTCCTGGTACGGCCGCTCTCGATTTTCGCTGCCTACACCGTATTTGGTTCGCCACTTGAAAGCGGGTTCTCTTGTCACTTGGCGAGTCCAAACTTCCTTCAACGGGTGGATCACGTAGCGTTGGACTTTTGTCTCTCAAATCGCATAGAAAGCTCAATTACTCAAGGCTTGCTCTGATGATGGATTTTTAGGGCTTGTGGCGGGTCACCTCAGAAACATTGGGCAATTCTGGGCAATGTTTTGACAGTAAGGCTCAGTAAACGGTTCAGATTCTTGAAGTTATCGTTGGAGCACTCTATCTCTGCCCTATACTTCAGCGCTATGGAGCATGGAGCGACCGGAAATTTCATTCGACGCCGCGGTGTTTCGGATTTCTGGTATTGCCACGGCTAGCGAAGACTCAGAGCATGCTATTGTCTTGAATGTCTTTCTCTATGGGCGTCAAGTCCCACCCATATTCCGAGACTACTGGCCACTGACGTTCAGTAGGCTTGGTGTCTACCGCTCAAGCGAATTCTGTCACTGCTTGGCAGGTCTTTGATTCCCCCACGGCCACTACACTCCGCATACACGAGCGCTTTTTCGACATGGCATTCTTCAAGTTCGCCTGGCTCAATAAAGAGGGGGACTGTCTGCCTTCGGATAGATATAAAAGGGCTCCCAAATTACCAGGATTCTCCAGACAGACACTTCATCTTCGTTATCTACTTGCCTACATTCATCACGATGCGTTTCTCAGTTGCTGCTCTTCTCCCTCTTGCGGTCCTTGCGGTCCCCGCTCTCTCCGCTTCCGTCCAGGCTAGGGACGGCAATGTCGACCACAAGGGAAATGACGGTGGAAGCAAGGATAACAACTACGGCAACAAGGGCAAGGATGGTGGTCGTGGCGACTGCACCTGGGAGCCGGTGTTCGAGCACAAGAATGACTTCAAGGGATGGAACAGGGGCAAGTATACTCCTTACGAGCACAAGGAAGTCACCAAGATCAACTTTGAGATCGGTAAGCGCATCTCTTCGTGTTTGTACCATGTCAATGACGTCTTCTCCTCAGAGTGCAAGAGCTTGTGCGAGAAGGACGACAGATGCAACTCGTGCCAGGGTACGTCTGATGTTTACTCTTCCTCCGGCATCATCTAACGCCTTCTTTCTAGCTTACTCACGTGATGAGAAAGATGACAAGTTCGTCTGTGAGCTGTTTGTCGAGATCATCGACATCGACACCTGGAAGGAAGACTGTGATGATGGCAAGGACGACAAAGACCACAAGGATGGAAAGAAGGACGACAGGAAGGACGACAACAAGAAAGATGGTAAGAAAGATGACAGGAAGTACTACGACACTTCTGCCTGGAATGCCCACTACGGATACTAAATCCGGCGAATCTTGTTATGGGTGGTGACAATGGACATTTGTAACAATATGCATGTATAGTATTGTATACCTCCAATGCAATTTGCATGTGGTAACGTTCAGTGTGGGTTCAAACTTGGCGGGGCATCTCAGTGCGCTCAAGAACAGTCGGTAATCTGGATTTTTTCTAAGCTACTCTGCTTGTAGGTTATTCCAAAGTGTGGCGATTGCCTCGAATGAATGAGTGAGCAGAAAGTATTAGAAAAATACCCTTCGAACGACTCTGACTTTTCAAAGACGAGGAGTCAAACCAACGCAGAAAAGCAATATCATCTATTTCGCCATATCGGCGAGTCTTCTAACAATACACGTTATGTCTATGGATACAATCTCTAGCTTTTACTCCTGCTGTTCTACTAAGCGCTCTAACCCTTCGCAACTCAGCAAGCCCCTCCAAGAATCCTCTAATCCGCCGATATCATGCAGCTCCATGTACGTCTTTATAACATCTCTACAGCTTCTCCGACAAACCAACCCTAGTGCCACAGCAAACGCGTTAACTCTCCCGACAACCAGGATCTTCCCTGACGCCGTCACGAAGAAATCCGATCGTGTCACAGTGGGTACGCCTCGATCGTTTTCCCCTTCGTCCTCGACGCGAATCACAACCCCATCCCAGTCCTCAACGTCCACCAAAGAGACATACACGTCTGTTCCCTCTCCCAATGCCTGTATACGCGTGTATTGACGTTGAGGCTCTCCCACAGCCCTGGGGGAATGTGCAAAATGTGTTTTTGCGCTCCCTTTGTTGCTGCTTTCGCTCTCCTTCGTGATAACCTTCCTCTTCACTACCCTTCGTCGTGGTAGGTTGCTCACATGTGGCTCGAGGTGTCCCTTGGATTTGACGGTGACACTGAAGTTGAGTTGTTGTGGGCGGCACGATTCGGGGCTGACAAGCGTCGTTGAAGATGTGGGTGAGGGGATCATCGTGGCGACGGTGGTCGTCGTTGGAACAAACAGATGGAGGTCTGCGCTGTGCCCGTATAATCGTTGATGGCAGCGTGTGGTGATAAACGATACAAGGGTGGTGAGTCGATGATACTAACAAGATAAAAGTCAGTCCACAGGCGAAAGATAGAAACAATGAGCGCACTAGTCTAGCAGAATATTGGTCCAAATGACGCGAAATCGTCAACATTTCATTGAGGAGCCATCGACAGCTAAGTTCTTCAACGACACTGGCTTGTCTACAAAGTCTTCTCAATTAACCATTGCAAGAGCGCGAATAGCACGGACAATACGCACTGCAACAGTCCTTCTGCAGCGCCGCTGACGTTATGTCCAGTGTCAACGCCCAATCTCAATCGCCGCTCAGATATCGTACTTGCTTGTCGCTGCAAAGCTAGGTGGTGTCGCGAGGAGAGTCGCAATTTTGAGAAAGTAAGTAAGCGGAGAAACTATGAAATACCTAAAATGATAAACTCGCTTCCGCTGCCGACTCGGGTGAAACCGGGGCACCGTGGCAACCTTCCCCACGGGGTAGAAAGTCATCTGACGTTCAACAGAGAGGTAACAATGTACTTAACAATATGATCAAACCGGCCTCGGAATTCAACGTTCAACATTTGAGTCTTCGAGTTTTCGACACAAAAATAATCTAAAACAAAAGGTGTCGTGGTAGAAGGGAATTCGGATACGGGGAATCGAACCCCGAGCTGCCGCGAACGTTGAGATACTGAAAGGCAATGTTAGCCGTTACACCATATCCAGAACACTTTAAGTATTTGGCATTTCTAAGTACCGACGCTTAGAATCACAACCACCTACTATCAAGGTCCTTTAGATAGGTCCTGCCAAATCGTAAGTATGTACTTAGTGTCCACGCATTTTTGACCGCTAATCAGTAGGAAAGGTGATGCGACAGACTTTGACGAACAAAGGCTCCGAGTCTTGTGGTCTTGACAGTGTGAATCTGTGGCTCACCAACAACCCATCTCCATTCCGTGACCTGATCTCTGTCAATGGTGTCGCATCCGCCAAGGATACCAGTCTCATCAATGATTACCTCCAAAGGGTGCATAGAGAAGTTCAGCGCCTCGAAGCCATCCTGAAAGAGGTGCAAGAGGAGAAAATCCGTCTTCAAAGCATTGCCGATAGCCACTCGGGGTTGATATCATCCTTTCGCAAATTCCCCCCAGAGGTTCTCGCAATAATTTTCCAGCACACGATCGCCGTCCCACCACCCCGTGATCAGAGTCCCTGGCTCCCTGGCGACATGACGCGCGTCTATACCGCACTTTGCACGCTTGGTAGTGTTTGCCGCGACTGGAGGGCGACGGTGATGTCGACACCCTCATTATGGGCACAATTCAACATTGGGTTACAGAGGAAAGAAGAGTGTGAAAACCCAGCGTCACTGCTGAAAATCATGCTGGACAGATCCCGCGGTGCCGATTTGAGCATCGGTCGCTCCGGTTCGATAGACGACGCCGTCGACAATCAAACCCTACGTGCTTTGGCCGAATGTTTGCTTCCTACAAGTCACAGGTGGAAGAGTGTGTCGATCGACACTGGCGGCGACAGTAAGGATCTGTATGAGCAGATTCAAGGTCGTCTCCCATTGTTGGAGCAGCTGGAGCTTTGTTCTACATATCCGTTTACCGTCTCTTGGAAGTATTTCCGTGCCTTCGAGGATGCGCCTCGTTTGCGGGAGTTGGCTCTGGGAAAAGGCCTGTCTCCTGTGCAAGACTTTCCCCTCCCCTGGTCCCAGATAACCTGTCTCTATATGAACCATCATATCACGCCCAATGATCTCTATGATGTCTTCTCCATTACTCCCAATCTACAGTCCCTGCGTCTGTCCAAGCAAGATGAGGAAGCATACAGTAGTACTTGGGACCCAGACAAATCCGACGTCTTTATTGTATGTCCAACTCTACGCCATCTTGATGTCGCAGACTCGGCCTTGTTCCGAGCTGCCACACTGTCCTCTTTGGAAGAAATCTCCATTGACCTTTTCACTGTTGAATCCGACGACGATGACAGTCATGGGGAAGACCTCTTCTCCTACTTCCTATATCGTTCGCAATGTCCGATGCGGAAGCTGACGATTCAACTGGGCGAGAACTTGAATGGTTTTGCAGCGCTTTTCGACCAGGCATCCAGGCTCACATGCTTGGACATCACATTGCATACGGTGGACTCCGCTTACTTCTTGTTTGATGCGCTTGTCACGACCGAAATCCTTCCTCAGCTTCAGTCTTTGAAGGTGGTATGTATAGTTTGGAAGGCCTACAATGAAGATGACGACGATGATCTAGGAGAGATTGTTGCTAAGCTGTTCTCGTCCCGATATATTTCATTGGAAGCTGACATGCTGTCGGTTCACGTCGAAGTGGTACTAGGCGGCAAGATCGTAGCCAACCCGTTGCGGCCCTATGAGCGCACACCAGACGGCCCGTTCTTATCAGAGCCATTCTGGAAATCTTTCGAAAACCATCTGAGAGATGCACCAGAGCTGCGTAGCTGCATGGTAACAGAAAAGAAAGAACATTGTAAGTTTCCTCGCTTGTACTGCAGCGATCCGTCTGATCTCATATGTCTTTAGGTGCCATGATGTGTGCGAAACCAGCCATTGTCTGATGTATGAGGCCACGGACTTATCCTACAACATTATTGAGTACTTACCCTCTGTATCTGCAAAGAAATCGATTTTGTGGGTATACCATACTAAGGTGATATTCAGTGACTCGGCGATGATGAAGTCTAGCTCACGCGCCGAGGAAGAACGCATCAGTAATACTTATCATTAGGTCTCTATAACCTCACCCCTACCGTAGCGTGTGTCTACGGTAGACTAGCCTGAAAGCGAATCCAGATCGTGAGGTTGCCTTCCATTCATGACGATCGGTGGTACAGGCCTAGTGAATCCTCACGCAAAAGTCAAAATGGCTACATTCCTGTACTGGACTGAGGATGATCGCAGAATTGCAGACTTAAGAGACATGAACCCGGAAGCCTTATTACACCTCTGAGGATAGTTCGTAGATACGAAGTGTTATAGACGGATACATTTCGAGTCGTGTAGAACAGACAGAGTTTGGAGCCTCGAATTGGAAGGATAATCAACAGGTAGGTCCGTCGCGTAATGATTTGCAGGATAGTAGTGGTTTCGGTGATCATGAAAAAACTTGAAGGAAAACTTTGATTCTTACTAGCGTGTAAAAGAGGCCACACGTTTTTACCATGATGTTGCCCTTTGGTCGCGATCGTCATTACATGATATCTAATGCGTGATGGCGTTTATTGTATGGCGTAGAATCACGATAGACAACACGCATCCTCATCGATGAAGGATCGCACAAGAAATGGTTCTACGTATACACATGGGAAACCTCGCTAGAACAGGACAAAACATACCACACACCACACTTTTTGTTCGGTGGTCGGTTCATGGTCGCATGAAAACGGGTTCATTTTCTCAGCCACCTGAAAAAACACCGTCCGTATTACGGAAAAAATTGTCCTCGAGTCCAACACCGAGTACAGCAAAACCTGCACGAGGACAACGACAACACCGATATACCCGTCATGACCTGCGGAGTGAGTGGGCTGAAAGTCGAGTGAGAGCGTCACTCGTACTGCTCTGCTGATGAAGCTTGATGAGCACTGGTCGACTCGGGGTTGTTCCTGTGCTGATGCTTTCTTCCTGTGCCACAAACGATCAGCCTGCTGCAGAGCTCCTCATTCCAGAAATTGCCTAGAGCGTGGAGGTCAAGCCGACATCAGAATTGAGATGCTGTAAGGAGCATGCATACAGTGCCTCCACATTAATCCGCCACAATCAAGGTTCTCGGCACACAAAAGGTTAGAATCGAGCTAGGGGGATGTTTAGTACGGAGGCGACGCAGTTATAGAGCGAAGGTCAAGCCACGGGTATGAAGGGAATGCCTTATACTGGCGCGGTATTGCTCTTGCTGCTCAACTAGAGAAAATGGAGTAAAAAACACAGACGAATCATTTAGCAGCTGAATTTGCCTACTAGAACCGTAAGAAATAGATCAGCCCTGCACGGGATACGACGAGTCGAACAGACGAAAATCGGCAGCACATTTTTTGCAGCCTTATATACAGACTCTTCCGTTCCAAAAATTAGGGTAAAAGGTGGCAGGGCAAATACGAAAAAGGCCTCACCTGGATGCAGCATCCCTTTAAACGCGCCGGCTGATGGTCGTATGCTGCGGCGACGAGCGTTGTGTAAGCAGCGGAGAAACGCATCTCTTTCGCTGACCACCATCACCACATACGACTACTATCATTCCATGCCTCGCTCGTCGCCAAGCACGACGAGCACAGCATGAAAGCTGCGAGTGGGCGTCTCGTCCGTACGTTTCTTCGTGGTGGTGAAGGCGTTCGACAGCCCGTCGGTCGGTAGTCGTCGTCAGTCTTCGTCCTTGCCTGCGACGCCCGGCATCGTTCTGTATGTTAAGCACGATGCAAAATTGGTGATCATGATGGAGATGGAGCAGATGGAGATCCGAAGGTCACGAAAACGTGAGCCGAGTGACAGAAGTAGGGACTTGCCTTTGTTGTCGTTTTCCCTTCTACTCTGCCCACGCATGTCGTTCTAGCTGTAACGACAAGGTTTCTCTATCTGCTCCATCTGTGATCATCTGGCCAGTAGAAAGGACGTTCAGTCTTCGTCGTCGGCCGTAGCGATCCCGTGGTGAATCATCTTTCTCACATCGAGTCACTGCACCACTTACCGCCCCTTTCCAGTCACCATGGACGAAGATGATGAAAGGATGCTGATGGATGACGACCCATGGCAAATCGTTGACGGTGACGACTGGTGGCGGACGTCGTATACGGCGGTGTCCTGGGCCCCTTCGACGACGACAGCCAAGAAGGTCGCAGTCCTACCACCGCTGACTGTCGATGACCAGTCCGCCATCCACGACGACATGGATCTGACCCTCAGCTGCTCGTTGCCCGGTGTCCAGGCAGCTCTCGGAGCTCTCGGCCGTTACGAGGCCGACGTTGGTTTTTACTTCTCGCAGAGTAGCGAGGCGATGTCAGTGTCTGATGCATGTCATTGCGACGGTATGAACACAGGCCGATGGAACGAACTCATTGCAGATTTGTTTGGGGACATTCCAACATATGCCTCGTCATCGTCTGCCTCGTCCCGTGGTACCCCATCACCATGTCCATCAGCGTCCACCTCTTCCGCCGGATCTACTACGTCCGCACCAAATACGCCTGCGACGAAGCTCAACGCCTCGGCAAACTCGTTCGTGCCTACGTTCGTCTACCCCGTTCCTCCCCAGAACCACAAAATCAAGATTACAAAGGACGACCAGGGTTTCTATATGGGGGTGGATGAGGTAGATGAACGGGATGAGATAGAGGAAGAGATTCGGAATATCATCGGATCTTACGAGGAGAAGGCCCACCGTGTCTTCGCGCCCTTTGCTCCAGACGAGCGCAAGTCGCCGGATTCTGACGACGATGCCTTCATCGTCAAGATGCCCAAGCGCCGGGTGCTGGAAGACTGACGAGGGTTGGATTGGATTTGGGGAGAAGGATAAGGTGCAGAGGAAGAAAGATCTCTTCGACGCTCTCACACGTCGGTGTCGCTCTGCGGTGCCGGACAAGACGTCGACAACTGAAGGGTGGATTGAGCCGAAGCGTCAGGCTTCCGTGGCGCCATCGACGACATCGCCAGGCTGGATAGAACTCGGGAGCTGCCAGTCCACCTCGAGATCCCAA